TTTCTTTATAATAAAAGTGCAGAATAATATAATATTCAATAAGGATAATATAATATTCAATAATATAATATTCAATATGTATATTTCAAAATCGTTTTGTCATTATAGGNACTCACTTTAGTTTGCAAAAAATAGCAGATACGTTAAACACAAAATTTCTGAAAATAAGAATAACAAATTTATTTTATTCAGATATATGTTACTTTATTATATTAAATGTCACAATAATATATTACATTACAATACTACTATGTTACATTAAGTGTAATTATGTAAAACTATGTTACAATTATATGTTACTATGGTCTCTTAATATAATACATTACATTTTTGTATTAACCATTATAAGTATGTTCACATATAAAAGTTTTTAAATATATAATAGGAGAACATANAGTCATTATCAGTATCTTTTAATTTAATCCTATGTACGTAATAGGTATACTATGTGTCCTACCTCTACATCAAATGTTAATAATGTTGGAAACATTTTGATACTATNTGATCACTCTAATTTAACACAAGACGTTCAGTGTTGCAATAAATTCAACTCTACTTATTCAAGTTGTGAAAATGCAACTGTCAATGAGAATATCAACAATCCTACAAACTCTGTCAAGATTTTATCAAATGTACCATTACCTAATCACGTAATACTAAAACAGACAAGACTTTCACTCACAGAAAAGATGGATACTATTACATATAATATGCTGTTAAATAATACTACAGATAATAGTTTTAACAGTTTTTTTAAATGTTTTTTTAAGGGAAAACAAAACTTACATCAATGATAATATTTTCAGTAACACATTTGTTCCAAAAGCAGAATCTACTATCTTGGGAGAAAAACATTTAACATCAGAATGTAGAATTAAAANCAATACTTTTGAATATGATATTTCTTTTACATCTGAGGAAAATAACGATGATAGTTTTCATATGTCAGATTGTTCTAAATTTGAAGATACAGATAAAGATAAATCTGAAAGTCTAGATGTTAATTCTACTGCTACATTACATATTGAGGCCTCACATGTAATATTTGAAAATAAAAAAGATACTACCAATCTGTTAAACAGCAAATGTGATGCTNAGCAAAGTGATAAAACTTAAAANTTGATTCTAATATNACGCTATGTAGTACTAAAAATAACACAGATTATAACAACGAATCTGCGTGTACGATTGAAACAGTTGATGCTCTTTCTAATGATAAAAATCTTAGTATATTGAATAGGAGTAGTAGCAACAGCATGAAAAGTNGTAAGACTATGATACATGTTCTTAATTAAACTAAAAAACATTCTGCACCAGACAATTTTTATGCAGTATGGTATAACTATATTTACTTTATTNAAAATAAACANTTTTGCACTTTTAAAATTTCAGGTTTTATAGATTCNTTGCAAGCTGTTAAAACNAATGATTTATTAAATAGTGGAACATCAAATGTGATATTTGGAAATACAGAAGACACTTGCGATCTGTTAAGCAATGAATGTGATACCGAACCGTGCACTATAAGTCAAAAGCTTAATACTACTTTGACAATATGTGATAATATAACTGATGGTGATATTGAAAATTATTCACCAAAAGATGATCTTTCTATTGATGAGAACTTTAATGTTTTTATTGATAATACTAACAAGTTGATTAATGGTAAGAATCAATACATTACAATATACATTAACTGATACAAAATTTTATATGTAACGATGTAAATCGTTACGGCCG